TCAAGAAACTTCTCTCATTCTTCATCAAACCTTCTATACATCACTAACATTGGGAAATACAAAGGCCAAGCATAGACGTCATTGTAATAAATGCTGCATTTCATCCTGAGCAACGAAATGCAACCTCGCGTCAACTTTCGGTAATATGACATCATAAAACATTCGTGTTTAATGCATCAATAGAGACTTGTTATAGACGACATAAGGGTTAAGGAACTTTTAAATTTTAGCTTCAGCGCATGATTTTATCGACGAGCTTCAAAATTGATTATTTCAGTACAAGCCAACTCAAGTATGCATGAAGTGGTGGACGATGTTGGTCGTAATATGTAAAATAAGATACCCAGGAAAGAGAAATTCTTGTTGCAGCATACACTCATCATTGTTACCTTAAACTATAGACTAGGGACTAGGAAAGAGGTAATATCAATTTCGTTTCCGCATAAACCAGTGCATCAACACTACCGAAGTACCCCAAACCCCCCAGAATGGAGAGTTTCAACTGTTGCCGATATTTTTTTCAGCTTTTAAATCTTTGAAATTTCAAGCCATTAAACCCTTAAAGTGATGTATTATCAAAGCCCTTCTGTGTATCGAATGGAGAACCAGGAATTGCGTTCCTCGTGGCTTTTTGACGAAACAAAAAAAAGTACAATTTCGTGCTGAGAAGATATTGTGAGGAGTAGAGGCAAGTTTGGAAGTGAATGTATTTAGGTTATTACTTCGCTATTATATGCTGCCTCTAAGCCTTTCCTATGACATCATTGGGCGCAATCATACAATATTCTTCCATGGTCCTGTAATTCGAGCAACGTATGCTTCAAGCCGATTTTGTAGCACTCCTCCTCGCGATCGTGTCCCCACCACCATATCTAGCGTAAGTCCACGAGTCTCCGCAGCTTTGCAAACTTGTGCTGATCGGACGCCTTCGTAACATATCTGCGAGCATGAGCTCCGAGCGGGCGTAGCGCTTCCCCACCACGCCTCGACGAGCCAGATCTTTTACAAACTTGAGGCGCACATCATTGTGTTTAGCTTTTATGAACGAAGTCTCCTCATCGATCTGAGGAATCGCACCCATATTATCCTCATGCATCAACATAGGCTGAGCCGGCGCGAGTCCTACCTCTTTGAGCATCTCTTGAATACCGAGGAGCTCGCGTGCTGTCACAGATTCGGCGATCATAGTCATGAGAGAGACGCCACCCTGCCCACCTCACAGGTATTTCATTTAGTAGAACGATATCACCGGTGAGCGACTTTCCGTATTCCTTGTCGGCAGCAAAAATACATTCTTGTAAGACTCAAGCGTCATTGATTCGTTGAAGTCGGCATTACCGCGCATTTCAATTCGTATCACTTTGCTTCCCTAGAGGTAGCATTGTGTAACGGGGTTACAATCACCCTAGTAACAGGGGGGGTGTCACACGAGATGAGCATGGTGTGACTGCACCCAAATAAGATTACGGTATGTGGCTGGATAGCCAGTAGTTATGCATGTATTTAGATTTTACTATATATATTTATGAAAATCTGTACATTTAAAATTTGGCGGCTGTGCCAAAGATAAAAAAAAAATAAAGTCAGTTTCAATTTAAAACGGAAGAGTTTATTAGCCTTAGGTTAAGGCAATAATTACTCTTGGAGTAAGCGGATTGCGATCCGCTACACTCGTACTTGTTCTAAGTATCGAACAAAACGTCGGTGACCAAACTTATGCTTCCTCAAAGCACAAAGCTACGGCAGCCCCGCTGCACATTGCCTTAGCGTGTGCCTTTGGATCAGCCTCGTAAACTTGCATAACAGCTGCTACATCACTTGTCACCAATTCAGTGTCTTGTGGCGCTCGCTTGGCAGCCCCTCGTGTGACATGTGACGCACGCACCCACTATTGTTGATCGGTCTTGCCTTTTGCTTTTGATACGCCCTTGATAACTGACGGCGCCTCCTCCTCAACTCCCGCAGCATAGTGTATATGTTTGCTTTGCTCATCGAAAGGTGCTTGATATTCTTGACGTGTCGGGTCACGATCACGACATTTTTCTTGCGTATGAACACGCGATATTCCTTGATCTCGTTGATGCAACCCACAATGATACCAATCTGCACCCTATGCGCAAAACAAGTTCTTCTTGGGTCACGATATATTCTACACACTGAGCCAAAAGCGACGTTGTCAAGAAAGTCGGGTTCTCGACTTGTTCGCACCTCGATTGATGATGCTCGGCTGACATTCGAGCTCATGAGACTGCGATTTAGTATGTACGCCGAGTACTCCACCGCATCTCCCCAGATATTCAGCGGTAGCTTGCTCGCAAAAATCATAGAGCGTGCCATGTTAAGAACCGTCTGGTGCACGCGTTCTGTATTGGCATTTGATGCTTGATTCCTTGCTTCGCTCACCCGCCGCGACACTCCTACGGTCTTGCAAAACAGATCTATGTTACGATATCCACCGCCCTTATCTGTGCGGGGTACATGAGTGCGACAGTCGAAACAATTCTCAAATCATACTTAGAAACCGTTTAACGTTTTCGCCGCTTAGTACTTGTTGCACGTCTTCCCTGTGCTCATTCACCTGAGCTATCGATGCCACGAAGGAGTCAGCTTTGCCAATGCTTTCGTGTTTGACTTGCGCTTCAACAACAAGCACGTTGTTTTGCATTGCCACATAAAAGACGACGTCACCCGTGCTTAGGGATCTGATTGCTCGTCGATCATTTGTATACTCGAATCCATATACTTTGGTTCTAACTTGCTGTACGACACTATGTTGCGAGCTAGCATTGATGCGGAGTAGGTGTCCTTTAGGCGACGATGCTCGGCTTGCCGAGCGCAATTATCCGAAGCAGTTCGCTGCCACCCAGCGTCAGCTGAAGAACCTTGCCATTAGCTACTAAGCACTGGTCGTCGCATTTGCGAGCATCTTCCAATAGTGCTACATTCACGAGATGCCGGCTCGACCTGCAGCCCAGCATTCAGACCTTGTCTTGGGTGCCGCCAACCTGAATGCACAAGGTGTAGCTTACAGCTGCCTTATTCTTGTCGCTTCTCCTCCAGCCACCCTTGGATCCATCATGCTTTTCTCAGCTCGTCGGGGCGAATCTGATCAGCCTTGCCACGTTGAGACAGGTCTTGTGCGCCTTGCGCAGAGGACAACAAGTTCGAAAGTGACGGGAGTCTCCACAGCCAACACCGTCGGGTGTTTAAACGCTGCTTGGCAGCTCGGAGCTCTCCCTTCTCCTTCTCAGTATAGTTGAAATCCATTGGCTCAGGCTCTCTTGACGAGCTCTGAGGGTGTGCATTTCATCCAAGTCGTGCCGACTTGAAGTGGATATCGGTACCCAATGCCACGTTCACCGCTTCTTCAAATAGAGACGGAAGACTTCCATTCTGATCACTACAGCGCGGAGGCCTTCTATAAAAACGGTCACTGCAACCTCCTTGGAGAGAAGATCGGCTGCCATCCCAGCATTAAGACTTCTCAGCTCATGGGAAACGTTTATTAACTCCTTCTTGCCCTGTCGTGCGGCAAAAAAGCGCGAGTGCACGCGAAATGCCTGATCGCGCGGCAAGAACGCGCGCACAAGCTGATGCTTCAGCTCCTTTCAGGAGGGGAACGCAGCTTCGTCGTAAGAAAACACACACTATTGCCCATTCTCGCGCTCGGCCCCCGAGCTTGAAGATAGCTATCGCCACGCGCTGCTGGTCATTCTGGAGCATGGCGGATACCATAGCCATATGTTCCTCTCTCATCAGAAGCAGAAAATTTACTCCATCCTTTCCCTCAAAGGTCTTAACGCTCGCCATGAGCGGCCCGAGTTGGGAAGAACTTTCCGTCGTCGACGGTGGTGTCATGGACGCAGTCCATGCCGACATCTTCTTCTCTATGAGCTTCAGCAGAGCATTTTCATAGTTCAGAAACGCCTCTAGGCGCGCGATTATATTGCCTTGGATCCTTTTGATGCAAGTTGTTGCACACCTTAAAGGCCAAGCTGGGACATCAGCTTATTAAGCCCGTCCTACATGCCCAGGGGCAAAAAGGAGAATTGCTTCATCCTCACAGAGGATCAGTCGTGACGACTCAGGCGTACATTAACTACGAGTGCTTCAAGTGCAGCGGGGCTGCCGTAGCTGCGTAGAGAAAGCTTACCATGGTCACCGACCTTACGTACTAGACTAGAGCCGTACGACTGTACCGTCCGTAATCCGCTACCTCCAAGATTATTCAAAAAACTACTAAGGCAAATACACTTTTTCTTTTAAAATTGAGGTTGTATTTATCTGTTCTATTTGCAGCAGTGCCGCCTATATCAAAAACCTCAGATTTTTCTAATTGAGTAGTAACACCTCATTGATATTCATAACTAATGTCAGTCCCACCACGAAGTGGCCTCTTATTACGGTATAGCTACACTATTGTGTGATTACACCGACTCGTATATTCTACACCTTTGTGTCTTCACACCATCTTGTGCGACCCACCCTTTCATACCAGGGTACGTGTAACTCCATCACAATATAGGTTTCGGTGTGAAAAGTCATCGGGATAGGTTTAAATTTTGAACGAACTGTGTTGACAACGCACAGGTGCATTGTTAATGCATTGTTAACTGAATAACGCACCCTATTGTCTCAACAATGGTGTACTTTCAGAACCGTAGAAACTATTCAATCAAAAAAATCACGTCCCATAATGCGGCAGGAAGTGTGACAGCAGAAATTAATGTTATAAAGCGGCACGTTCAGTCTCTTTGTGTCTTTGTTGTGTCCTCCATCAGTGCTACGTCGGCAGCTCAAAGCGTGTGAGCACAGGTATACATTCGAAATCCTCTGAGAGTTTCGGCGTGAATACGTTACTGTCACGAGTGGTTGTACACACGCGGCCTCTGAGCTACGCAGCCGTACAGATTGTGTGGGGTATCTGATGCACTTCGAAATCGAATCGCTGCTATAAAGCAGCAGATAGCCCAGTCACATAAGTTAGTTAAGACATAAGTTCATATAAACGACGTCGTTTTACGGTTTCTGTAAGCGCACGCAGAGCAGAGGGTGTGTTCGTAGTCTCTTCGGGGTAACTCAATCATTTTCTAGTTATGTTTTAGTGAGTCCAATGAAGCGCGGTCGTAGTTTTGTCATATAGGCTGGAGACGCTGTATATGCAGGTAATTTGACTGCATTAAATAGAGACTATTCACTCGCATCAATTCATGTTTTTTCTATCGGTCTGTGGCATTTTTGCGATGCTTTTCCACACCCCGACAACTTGACCACAGCAACTAGACAAATGACGCCGAGTCTCTTAAAAATTCACACGAATTGTCTGTAAAATCGGGTGCATATTTCAAAAGGCTAAAGATGAAGACCATGACAATGGCTTGCCAGCTCTCTGCTAGAAACGGGGGGCGTTAAGGGTGTCGATGAGGTTGGTGAAAGATATTTGCTGACAGAATCCACACGAGCAAAAGCCCAAGCTTACTCATTTGAACATATTGACCAAGATTAACATAGTATTGCTGCGTTCGTCTTTTCTATCGCAAGGTGACTTTCTAATGGTGAATACTTGCTTCTGGCAGAAATGCTGATCTGTAATCCTTATCAGGCACCACCTCACGTACCGCGTTGAGTGCTATACAGCAATCCTAGTGCAAGGAAAGCGGCTATAAAATGACATCAAAGACCCGAATGCCCTGCATCCCACAGCTTTTAGCAGCGTAATGCATGTCGCATCCGTCCTTTACATTCTAAGTACCGCCTTATCAATTAGCGGCGTCCCGATCGTGTCATGCGACAATCCATAGTCGGGGCGATTATTAAGCGCATTTACCATCACATTCATCCGACGCGCTTATACCGTATCTCGAAGGTTTAATCAGCAAAAACAAAATATCTATTGGAGTCCTTTGTAAAAGTATGGTGACGATGTCGATGTATACAACAACATATGAACATAAAGATAACAAGTAGCTTAAAACCAAGACTAGGCTTCACACATTTTCCGCGCCCCAACATCATTTGACTTTCCTTGGTGAGGTTCTTGTCATTTTGCCGCGATTCCAACTGTACTAGAGTAAGTATTTGGCCAAGCTATCCCTTTGATATAGCAGTCACAATAACCTTGATCTTTGTTCCCAGACTATGCTTTCCAGTGACGTATCTCATAAACTTCGTCAGCGCAAATGCTACTGTGCTGATTCTGGTGAATGACGTATCAAGGCGCAAACGCCCTAGCACTGTATGCAAGTGCTTGATATGAATATCTAACCAACTCATTGTATCACGGACAAGATACCGTTTAAAAATGTGAGCGATGCGGTTTACATCAGCAATTCTACATTTGCTAGTGCATTAGATCCGGGGGGCAATACGCGCGATGCTACGTAGTAATGACTTCATCATATTTCTTCAGCAGAGATTTTTAGCATCTGCAGGAACGTCACAAGTAACTGTTCCACTCCTCGCACTCAATTTTACAAACTACAATTTTATTCATGACAAATGGTCAGCTCAGCTCCTCTAGTTTGTATCGAAACAATTCGGTTACTTTATAGTCTTGTAATTTCATGAACCTATCTTGCTTGGAATAACGCATTCTAATCAACGAGGGTTTCCGCTTGATTGGCAAGAGGAGAGTTACAATCGTTAGGACTAAGTCGACCTCACCTTTCAGAAGAGGACAAAGTTTTTGGCGCGTATGCAAGATAAATTCGTCACGCAGTAGCTGAACTGGCAGAACAAGCAATACGACGTTCCACGTTGTTGATATCCTTAGCGTTCACATGGAGATATAGAAGACACTCGACACACACTCGTAAAACGCATGATATGGTACCTGTTTTCGGCATCTTCGATGTCTAGCCTACTGTCCACACTTCGAACAGTCGGGCATCGTACATACTTTCGCGATACGCATAAGCCCATCAAGACTTTGCACAACCTCATAAACGTCAAGACCTAGATGCTGACAATCAACAATTCCGGGCTGTTAAGTCCTTCTTTCGTAGTAAGCGTTAAGGCTTGATGCTCTAGGCTTTGACCTCCACAAGGCAAAAAACAATTCAGCCCTTTCACCGTAGGTTTCTCTGCGCTCTCTTACTCCCAAAAGGTTGGTCGTATGACCCTGCATCGCAGAGTGCTCGACCCTTCACACCTATAAAAATGAGAAATAAGGAAATGCAGATCATATTCATTTGTGACTACCGCATTATAAATATGCATTTACCACAGCTCCACTTAATAGCTGATAATTTTTTATCATTTCGTTTAAATTAAATTTGGCTGAGGCAAACTTACTCTGCGCGCTTGCAAATTCGCCACCTCACTCATGGAACAATCATGGCACATTGGATCACACACAAGCCAATTTATCGAGCGAGGGGCGCAGAAGGTCTGGATGCAGGCCGCACCTTTACGTAGACCCTTTATATATACTGTAACGCTTACCATTTCCAGCGATTAATGGGTTTTTACCGAAATGTATAAGCGCTACATTTCTGAATTTGTTATACTAATTATCTCCTCCTTTGACTGGAGAACTAGAGTTACGGTCGTACGCAGCGCATAATGGAATCAATGCGGACACTAGCGATATTTGTCGCTTTACCACTTCTCATGCCAAAATTATTCCTCTACAAAAGTATTGTAACTGCGTGCCCATTTCCACACTCAGATTGAAGATTTGGTAATTTCTAGTGCGATGTGTATATTTTCCATCTGGTGCAGGGCCAAATTCATGGCCATCGAATTTCATCTAGAGAGAGCGGGATTTTCACCGACTTTTCTCTTAGATGCTGGAACTTCGGCAAAAGTAGTCCTACTTTCATCTCGGTCGTGAGAAACGTACAGCTCTGTGTGTCACA